AGCAAAGTACTTAACGGATGACCGCATCACGCTGGAGTTCCGCCTAACTTTCCAGCGACGTTGGAGTTCCGCCTGACTTTCCAGCGACGCCGAAACTATGCCTGATCTCCAAATGATGGAGGAATTCTATCTAATCTCCAAGTGACTCTAGAATTCAGGTCGAATACGCAACTTGTTTGTAACTGGATTTCAATCCGGAAGTGAATCATTGTAATCTGATCGTCCTAAATTTTAAGGACGAGTCAGCCTCTTGTATCTCAAGCAAACACTAGTGTAATTCTTTTAACTGGGTGTGGCCTCATGGTTTTTTTCCCTTTCCAAGGCTTCCACGTCAAAACCCTTGTGTATTTATTTTTCTTTTGTTTGTGTGCTGGATATCCGTACAACACTGAGACAAAAACTTTTTAACTATTTTCGCCGCGTATATTCTAGCCCGCAACAATTATTATTATTTCCTTGAAAATTTTAAAATCCATTGAAAATCAGTAAAAAAAAATTGTCAGAAATCTGTCGCAAAAATTTCATCTGAAATCCATTGCAAAGCCGGGATGGAATACATTTGATTCATGGTTCCAGGTGTTGCAGCCTTTATTCTGTTAGCAGAACCAAGTTCTGTTGAACACTAGCTGAAATCGATGGAATGCATTTGTTTCATGGGACCCAACACTGCATCAGCTTTACTTCTAAAGCTATTTATTCATATTCGGCTCCATAATTAATTTGAATTTGAATTATTTAAAATATTATAAAAGGATATTATCCATCATATAAATATTTAATTTTAAAATATTAAATATGTGGAAGCTAATTAATTTAATAAATAAGATTATATGTAATAGTTAAAAAATAAGCCACAACATTGACACTAATTAAAAAAGTCCATCGCCAAAAGAAGTGTATTCATAAAATATATTATCTTAAAGGAGTCTTTCTACTACTTAATTATTTCCATAGAGATATATTAAAAAAAAAAAAAAACTCATTTGTTTGAAAAAAAAAATAAATTAATTTTTTTTTATAACTTTTTTAATAATAGGTTATCGTAGCACTTTTTCGGTGCTATTTCTGGCTTCTATATATATATCTAACTCGCCTGCGTTCCATTGCACGTTCTTTTCCTTTATACTTATTTATTAGCAGTTAATATTTATTCTTTTTGTTGAGGCGAACTTGGTGCTTTTTGGGAAGACAGAGAGAGAACGAGGGGGAAAGTATGGATGTGGTGGTTCTCTTTGAGGAAACGGATGGTGTTGCTTTACCAGATGTTTTACTGGCCTAGAGGACAGCGCTTCCTGCGTCACAAAAAAAAAAAAAAAAGCCGTAAGGAGAATCTCGATCTCCGTCCATCTGAAATGTTGATCTTGTCTTGCAAGCTGAATACATCTGTACGAATACTCCACCGACTGACTCCTGTAACGTTCTTGAATCGATTGATCCCTCAATCATTTAGTTTAATGTTATATTAATACATAAAAACATATGGTAAAGATGAGAGAAATGGAGAGAGAGAGAGATTAAATTTTTTTATATTTTAAATAATATTTATTAAATATTTAAATATATTAATAAATAACACTTAAAAAGTATTATATAGAAATAGAAAAAATTATATTTAAAAAGTATAATATTTAAAATTTTTACTCCCACTAAATATTAAAATATTTTTATATTATAAATTAAATTATATGTAAATTTAAAAAGAAAATTTTAAATATATATATATATATAATATATATATATATAATATATATTATATATATATACTATATAGTATATATATATATATATAATATATATATTATATATACCTTATCATAGCCTTCATATCATAGAATATTTGGAGATAAAAACTAAATTTTTCATTATAAATATAAGATTTTTTAAAAATCTATTATCAAATAGAATATGTTGTTTTCAATAAAAAAAAAATTATATTTATACTTTTACTCTAATTTTTTCAAAAGTAAGTTTCTAGCTTAAAATTTAATAATGAATAAATTTTTAATTTTTTTCAGGAACGTTCCTCTTTTAGTATTTTTTAAGAATGATTTTCTAAAAAAAAAAATTTAAGAATGAGAAAGATTAATAAAATCAAAATATAATTTAATAAATATTTTAATATTTTATAATAATACTTTTTAAGATATTATTTTATTTAGTATTATTTAAATATTAATTTAAATTATTGATTTAAAATAAAAATTTAAAATCTCTCTCTTCTCTTCTCTTTCTATCTCCTCGTTTTATCTCCCTCACCGTCTAATCTATTCATCACTCTCTTTCCATCATTTCTTTCTATGGCTGTGTTTTTTTTTTTTTTGGACTCATTTGGCCATTTAAGAGCAAATTTCACACACACAACGCATACATATAAGACTGACGCCTGGACCCTCATAGTTAGAAGCAATAAGCTCTCAACGCAATAGCCCAATGAGAGTTTTGTATTTTCTATCGTATTTCAAGTGTATTACCTCTAATGAGTTGACACATGTTGGGACTGCAAACAAATGTTCTATGAAAGGAGAAAGTTTTTAAAAAGGCATCATTTTTTTAAAAGTTATATTAGCAAAAGAAATACCTTAGGTTTTCATTTGGTTCGGCTTTTTTTTATTGGCTTCTCTTCCAAAAAAAATTGGCTTTTAATAAATTTTCTTGTCAATAAAATACTTTTAAAAAGTTATAAATTGAAAATTATTTTAAATTAATTAATTCATTTAATATATTTTAAATAAATTTGACCGATTATGTTAAATTAAAATAATTTCTATTAATATATAAAATCACAAATTCTTAGTATAGTGCCTTTTGAAATAATTTAAGTAATCACTAAATAATCACTAAAATTTTAAATGAGGTAAGTTTCATAATTGTATCTGAACAGTTTAATTTTAATAATTGTTTAAACTTAATATTTGTAGCATAGGATATATCCCTTATTTATTTAAAATATTTAGTAAAGTCATATATTTGAAAGTTGGGATATTGAATAGCATTAGATTCCTAGAAAAATATTATTCCATTGCATAGGATTATGAATGTTTTATCTTCTTGTTCACATGTAATTTTGATGTTATTGTTTCAGCATTCTATCCTTTTATTCAGGCTAAGGAGCTGTAAAGCTGTAATGTCAATACTCTTAACTACATTAGATTAAAGAACTTGTTTGGGTGATGCCAGCATGCAATTGTGGAATTTGTGGTAGTATTTTGATACTTCACTTGAGCAAAAGGAGCGAGTTAATGACATTTTTTGGTGTTGCATGGCGGCGGCGGAGTGGCCCAGCGGTGGTCGGAGGCGGCTGTCAGAGGTGGCGGTCGGTCGTGGGGGATTGGCAGACAGCGGCACGGGAGGGGGTTTCGGGCGGTGCTAGCGGGGCACGGGAGGGGTTTCGGGGCGGGCTAAAGCGGGCACGGGAGGGGTTTCGGGCCAAGGGCTAGCGAGCACGGGAGGGGTTTTCCGGGCGGGCTAGCAGGGCACGGGAGGGGTTCGGGCAGGCTGGCTTTTGGCGGGTCTCTCAGCACGCGGAATGGCGGATGCGGGAGGGGTTTCGGGCTGGCTAGCTCTCGCGCGCAGAATGGCGAATTTCCGACAATTTTTTTAGAATTTTTTCCGACAAATTTTCAAGCAGATTTTCCGACGACTTTTCCGGCTCGAAAGATCTTAAACAACCGGGGATGCAACTTGAGACAACTCTAAAACATATGAGGTTCCAAATGGAATGATAGTTGCAACTTGAAACTGCCCTGAAACATGAGATTCCAAATGGTAAATCATTCATTCAAATATTGTAGTTTGGGACGTACAACTTTTTGCATTTCTAGTTGAATCTTAGGTAATTCCATAATCTGTCAAGGCTTGTGAATTTATTGGATTTAGTCCTATATAAGATGTTTGAAAAATATATTAATGTAGAAATGTCAAGTGGTTGCCATTACTCATAAGCTTAAGCTTTGGGATTGAAAATAAATGTAATCATTAATGTTAATTGTTTAGTTATGATGAAGTAGTTCATGAGGTTTGTGTCTTCTATAAGTCTTGGCCACCTTCAGCCATGGTTAAGAGGCTTAAAAAATGGGTGATTCCCAGTAATACCTCCATATAATTAAGTTAGTTTTGATTCTTGATATTCGTGTTGAAAATATTATTTGAGGGCGTGATGATCAATGTGAAAAGATCCCTCGTGAGGGATCGAGTGATTCTTATGATGTGAGATGATTGGTTTTAGTCCCTTTTTTTTAGCGTAGCTAGAAATGTCGAGTTAATTATTGGCCCTCACCCTTTACATATAGGCTTAAAATTTTGATTTAAAATGCATTTGTTTATTAAGTCGAGCATTTGGATTATTTTGGTGATCTATTTTCTTCTTGGTGTATTTTGATCTTAAGCCTCATATATATATATATATATACTAGATGTAAGGCTTATTTCCTCTTGAACTAAATCCTTAGAGAAACTTTGGTAAAAGTGAGGACTTCTTGAGTAGAGATTTCCTATAGTGTTGATCTTGCAATAAATACCATTAATATGTTCTGGCTGCAAGCAAGGTTTTTGTTGTGTGATATCAATGAAATTGTGCTTTATTTCGTGCACAGATCATTGTGAATGAGAAGGGCACAACGATGACAGCTCCACAAGCAAAAGAGAAAATTCAAGACCAAACAGGTTGTTGGTTGAGATGTACAATTTTGAATCAGCTCTTAAGATATTGTGAGTTTTGAAGCTTTGTTGATGCATATTTTCGATAAGATTTTGAAGAAGTATTTAAATCTTGAATTTCTATCTTATTTTATTTTTCATTGGAGCAATTTCATACATAGCACACGAATCTTAGCTATTTACAAAATCAATACCCTCCTACCTCATTTTATCAAATTCCACCCAAACGCCAAACTCCACAACGAAAATCAAACTCATAACCATTGCTTATTTCAAATGCTTAACACCCTAAGTATATACAAATGCATGGGTTTCCTTGTATAGTTTTTTGAATGGTAGTTTTGTAAATAGGATTGATTTTGGTGGCATGTGCTTAAATCCCTCTTGTTTCCTTTTACAATTATTATTATTGTATTTCAAGCCATTATATTTTTGATGTGTCCATGTAATACATTATTGTGGCATGTGGGAGATAATAGTCGGTTTAAGTCAAAAAGTTATATTGTGCCTATTACATATGGAAATATCATAATATGATGCTCATTTTGAAATATAGGTAGGATTTTAGGTAGTATGTTAGAGCAAAAATATTTTTTTTTTCTTTTCTTTTTTTCCGCAAGCCTTCTACACTATTCCTACATGTTAACCAATATGCTATCAAAACGATGTAATAATTGTATGCTCATAACCTTAAGTATATTTTTCAATTATTAAGATCTAATTATGAGTTTTATCATTGATTCAACTAGAAATTGGTCTAGAACCAAAAGGAAAGTATCATGAGCTTGTGGATTTAGCACTACCTTAGTCATGTAGCCTTAGAATTCTTTGATTCCAAGTTAGCTTGCATTCAGTCACAATAATTTAAAAGAAAAAGGAAGATAATTATAAGCTTTTGTTATCACTCAAGCTTGTGATGAGACAATTGAAAGGGGTTTCTCCACTTGTATAGTATCTAAGGGATCTCAATCACGAGGGCTCAGAAGGGCCCTTCATATTGACAAATTGACCCCATGCATGCATCATTATGTTATACAATATGATTAATGTTTATACGTGACTTTCTTTATTTCATTTATATAAATGCTAATGATTGATAATATTATGTTCTATTTTTCTGATTGTAATTTTTATCTAAATTAATCAAATATAGATATGGACATATAGATGTGATTGTAGATTTGATACATGTTGTGAATAAAATTTTAAAATACTGACAATGTTTGTTATGTGGATAACATAGAGAGGTTTATTGAGCATTAAGAGCTAAAGATCTCCTGATAAAAGAACCGGAGTCACAGGTATAGATCTGCATCGACAGGATTATTATCATCTTGAAAACTTCCAACTTTGTTAGCCTCTGTTTAATCTGTATAAACTTAGGAAGAGCTCAAAAATCATTATCCTAAAATAACAAAACCATTGAAAGCCTAATACGATTACAACTCAACCTTCCCTATCTTCTCTCTTGTAGGAAGATTTATGCCATGAAAATGGAATATGCTTGCATATATTTTATGCCTTACAGGAAGCCAAAGGTAATAGATATGTTTAATTGGTGTAACATTGCAGAATATGAAGAGATAATTTACTAACGTGAAGACAAATTAAGTTTGTTTCAGCCATCTCATGGATGAAAACCTAGACATCATAAAATTGAATGAGCTTCATAAATTGGGGATGCAACTTGAAACTGGGCTGAAGCATACAAGATCCCAAATGGTAAGTCATTCATAATACTTCAATTTTGGATTTATAACTTCTTGCATTTGTAGTTGAGGCAATATCCACCTATTCTTGTAATGCATAATTAACTACTTGATTTCCATAGGTGAGCTTCAAAGAAAGGCAAGACGTCCTCTTCTCTTTTTCATTGCCTTCATTGTGTCCCTTGAAAAATATATGCTTAAATTCATCATCGTAGCACATAGGGCTTCAATTGATTTATAGTTGGATTATCATATCTTGAAAGAAAAGATTAGTGTGAGGGCTTGGTCTAACAAGTGGTTCACTTTCCTTTACACTTCATAGATGCATGCAATATGGATAATCTAACATGAATAGAAGATTTAGTTGAATGGCATTTATAAATATAAGAATTGAAGAATAACCCTCACCTAAATTGAAAGTTAATAAATGATGCCTTTTTTGGATTTGAGCTTTCTGGTTATTTTTGTGATTTATTTTTTCTTTTGAATTTTAGCCCCCTTATATACTATATATTTAAGGCTCATTGTCTCTTGAACTATAAATCTTAAATCCCTAGAAAAATAATGGTAAAATGGAAGACATTTTTGGAGTATGGGTTTCAAATGGTCAACTTCATTTAAGCTAATTTAATTAATGTAATAGCCCAACTCAATGTGATCCATAATTAATTTGCTTCAAACTGTGTGGGCATAACAAAAGAGGAATCTCAATTAATTTTTTTTCAATACCACAATTTTTTTACCACATCATTGTCAAGTATTATGAAATCTCATGGTTAATAGTATATGATTTGATGTGGATTATACATTTTCAATTTAGTATAACCAAAAGGTGCTAAAATAGGAAGAACATAAACAGTAGATATAATAACAAAATATTGTATTTAGCTTGTGAATTCTACGATACAAACAATTAATATTCATTATCAAAGCTTTATTATTGAGTTAGCTAAGGTATTTTTTATCATAATTACATGGAACTAAAGAGAACATTAAATAACATTGTATAGGAGAGTAACTTATGTTATTAAAATATCCCCTATACAAACGTTTATCAACATTAACTATATATTCATATCAAATGAGATATCAATATAAGAATTATGTTGATATACACCGATCAGTGTTCTATAATTTTTGAATGCCTATTTATTAAGTCTTGTCACCCTTTCCAAGATTCTTTTCCCTTTATGGAACTATCAATAACATGGTACAATATGGTGAGCGAGAGGCCTATTGGTCACATGAACTTTATTATATAATTCAATGTACTATGTGATAAGTAAATATGTAATGAAAGTTGTGTCAAAAATTAGACCATATTGTATTTATTTTTATTAGATCATTTTTGGATGGCCAATGATATGCTAGTAAACCTAGCACAATGTCATGGTGTGAGCAAGTTTATGTACAATTAAAAAACAACCAAACAAATAAATAATAATAAAGGTTATGTACAATCAATTTTGTATAAGTTTTGTTAAAAAGTCAAGGTTTAGATTATGATCAAGAAAGAAAATCTTGACGCATTGATCGAATGAGAGGGGTTAAAGATGTAATTGATCACAAGCATCCATATTTTTTTTATATCTGTCAGATTTACATTACTCAGATAGATGTAAAGAGCTGGAGGACACTTAAAAATGTCATTGATCAAAACCACCCATAATAATGATCTCAACGTAGATTTGCATTGATACATACACTGACATAAAGAACGATAGTACATTATTTATAAGTTGTTAACTTCGAATAAAATTTATCATTCACTTGGAATATTTATATGTCAAAAAGATCAACATGCTAACATGAGATACTTGTAAATGTTTTCTTGTGTAAATAGTTTATTTATGGTTGACATGATATTTGCAAAGTAGATTTTGTCCATACAAAAAACATAGTTTATGATAGAAGAACACTTTGCATGACTTTTCATATGACGTAATTCTTAATATGTCATAGAAAAATACTAAACAACACATGAATTAGATATAAAAAAAAATCACTCAATCATTTAATATTCATATAAATAAGGAGATAATTATATCAAGTTCATTATCTTAAATATGTCTGCTAGTATTTGAAACACACTAATCATATCTCCCATATTAATAAGGGAATCACTAAACTCTCTACAATTTAAGGAAAAGCTCGTCTACCCTAACTTTTGTCCAAAGAACAAAATTGAACAAATCAGCTTGAGTTCTAACCAACCTTCTCTTATATGTATACATTTTATATCCCTCAACATTTCCACAAATCACACAAGTTAATTACGCTTTATGACAAAACAAATAATAACAAAGCTAAAAGAATAATGATAAACATAATATGATATGCAAGAATATTCACCACACTTTTTACA